TTCTTTCTTTCTTTCTTTCTTTCTTTCTTTCTTTCTTTCTTTCTTTCTTTCTTTCTAGAGCGCGAGTTGTCTTGGTATTTGGCAGTTGTTCCTGTGGCTCTGGCTGTTCTCATCATAGGAGGAGTATACTTGAGTAAATACTGGAAGCAAAGATCCACCAAGGGATATGTTGTGGCCAGCTCCTAACGAATATACTTTTATTTCTTACACATTTTTTATTTAGCATCCTAAATGATTTTTTCATCTGTCCTAAGATATCTAGAATCCTTTCGGTTGTAAACAGAAATGAAGTTGTACACTGTATGTAATGGAAAGATGGTTTTATTTGATATTTTATGTTTGTATTTGTTAATGTTTGTTGTCAAAATAAAAAAAAATGAAGTTGCTGTTTCTATGCTTGTTGAAGGAAATCTAATGGAAATTTCTATAATAACAAAAATATAATAATTGTATTGTTTTTAATTTAATTTCTAATTTTACCACTGAAACCTGATACAAAAAAGTAACTTTAATAGTAGTAAACATGAATCAGCTACTATCTTATTTAGGTTTTATATTAATGGGGGTATATGCGCATACTTTATAAATTGTATTGAATTTTTTTTTAAAAATTTTTTTTAAAAAAATATGATTAATTTTAAAACAAAGAGAGATGGCGGCAAAAAGTGAGAGAGACTTTCAGTGATCATAAAAAAGACAGATTTTTAAAAAGAAAAACCTAAAGGGAATTAATATTCCAAAGAAAAAAATTACAAAGTGAACCTACCATTAAATTATAATTCTAATTTTTGATTTCTTCAGTACCAAAACCTTATTTTATGTTTATATTTGTTATTACAAGTTATGTTTTAAATATGTCTGATTTTTTGGAATTTTGGAAGCCAGTAAGATATCAAAGCTGAACAGGGAATATAGCAAATGTAGTTAATTGTATTATAATTACAATTGTATACATTTGATGTCATATAATAAATTATATTCCTTCTCCAATTTTACTGTTTTTATTGTTTACTATTTACTAACTGATTAAGAGTAATTATGAAGGCTAATATCCAATTTTAATGCTGTCCATTATATTATCAGCATTAGAAACTTGACTGATACTATAACAAAAAAATTTCTTGCTCTATCTGATGTTGCCAAACTGGCTAATCCATATTACAGTTGAACCTCAGGTCACAACCATAATCCATTCCAGGACTATGGTTGCAACCCGATTTGGTCATGACCGGAAGCACAACTGACTGTGCATGCGCAGATTGACTGCGCATGCACAGAAGGGGAAATCACCACAGCCAGGTTTGTTCACCACCCGATTTTTGAATCGTGACCTGATTCAAAACTCAGGTGGATTTTTTGGTCAGAACATGATTTGGTTGAGAACAGGTGCGTTCACGACCCGAGGTTCCACTATAGCTGCATGGAGAATTCACATGTCTGCTGAAAGTGTCATATAATTAAGCATCCTTTAATTAAACCAAATTGTTGTCTCTGTAATCATTTGAGCCTACACCATAGTAATAATAGCATCAATATTTTTTGACTTAAATCTGGAGAATGAAAGTCACCAGACCCTTCTTAAAGTGACCCAGACCATATTAGCAAAAGATAGGGCAGTAGATGTTTTGTGAAAATTGTATCTAGAGGAAAACATTACCAGGATCCAGAGCTAGATACTTGTTGACCAAGTCCTGATGAATTGTTAGAAACCAAGAGAGCTACAAGTTATGATAATCAGTGTGCCTTGTTTATCTCTTGCTTGGATATGGCAATGTTCTCCCCGGAGATGGCTTTGAAGAGCAGTCAGAAAAAATAGCTGATCCAGAATTCAACAACTTGAATAGTAGGATGGAGACATCATATTCACCCATGTAACATTACTATTTCAAGGTTGCAGTGGTTGACAGTTGGTTTTCAGATACAATCAATGTGCTGATTGTCTTTTTGTGTCTCTTTGGTTGTCTCAATGTCCCTTGCACAGCTCAGGACCTTGGACCTTGTATCTCTAGACCGATCTAAAGATCCAATTTTATTTGTCTATCCACTAAGATCTGGTACAGCAGATCCTCTCCATATCCTTGCCTCAAATAATAAAAAATCACAGAAATTGAACCTTCTCAAGTGTTGTAGAATAGTATTTTTCTAGAAATCTGACTCTCTGGAAGCTCACTGAAACCTGGCTGTTCCAGCAGACCTTGTGAATGGGATGTTTTAATGTTTTTTTTCTTTTGGCATTGGAATATTTGTTTAATGTACTGTAACAATCTCCTGATGTCTATGTGAGTAGATATTCTATGTCAGTAATTGTGATGTTCTGCAAATCCACCGGAAGCCAGCAACTAATTATTTTTTTGTTTTAAAAAGAAAAAGAGTTTTAAAACTAATCACTTGTGTTTTCAAACATCATTTATTGATGTCATAATGACCAAACTATGTTTATCTCATTTGTAAAGTATTTATACCATGACTGTGCATTTATAGACTAAGGCATTACTAATTATAATTAATCATAAGGGTAAATGCTATTGTGTTTGTCATTTTTGTTTTACAATGGATGTTGATAGCCAGAGAATGGAAAACAAATGTTGTATTGTTGATTTGCTTTTAGGGAGAAGTCTGGAAAGGAAGAAAAATATTATTTTCCAGAAATGATTTGGCCTAGCAACCATATATAGCAGTAAGCAATGTGGTTACTGTTTTATCAATGGTCATACTTTCAAATTTTCCCATATTAAAGAATTCAATTCTTGTCAAACTAATAAATCTGTTTCTTGTATTCATTAAATTTGGGATATGACTATTTTATGAGATGTGCATTACTCATGTTTGGATTTTCTTTACACATAACCTAGTTATTCCAAATACAGCTTCATTATCTTATTGATCATAACAATTTGCAGAAGAATTTTATACAAAGTACATTTAAAAACTCAGTCCCTAAATTCAGAGCTATTTTTCTGCAATGTGCACACTAAAACATGTTTATCAATTTCTCATAAATCTGCACTTGATGGATATAAATAAATAGCCATCACAGATGAAACTCATAGTTAAATGTTGTTCAACTGTAGTTAATTCTAATACATCAAACAGCTTTATGAGTAAAATTTAATCCCATTATTGGAATGAATAAATAAAATAACATTTAAAATTTATTATTGGAATGAAAAATAACATTTAAAGTTTGTCTATCCATTTTCATGTGGAGTGGGTGTCCCACATGTTATTGAAGTAAAGCCCTTATATGAAAAAAGGACTGTAATTCTTTTTCAAAAAGCTTCTTTATATATGGGCCTGTGGTACAACTACCATATTTATGGGAATTATAGGATAATAAAACTAGAAAGGATTGTTGTAGAAGTGCTACTTCAGAACATCAGTACATCCATACAAAATTGAGTATGCAACATCTGTGTATTATCAAAAATTATGCCAATTATAATAGCTATGCAGGTTCTATTAGTCATATGAAGCATCAGCCATCAAAATGGCCCTGCATATAAATGATTCTTTGGTTTCCATTGGCTGTTTTGTTGGTAATTATAGGGGCTACCACTATGAAGTGAGATGGAAGAGCAGTGTTTATGCATCCGCATAATTAGTTGATAGTGCAAAAACTGGTGCAAAAGATATTTCAGTATTGTATTACGTTATAAGTGAGAAAGTATGACCTCTTTATGGCAAAAATGGCCATGGTGGTCCCATCCAAAAGAGTCTTGGACAGCACAGAAAGTTTATGCATTGACAAATTTTCCTTCTGTCACTTATAAAAAACCACACTGCTTGAATACACATATATACTAATCATGCCAATACATTATGAAATCCTTGGTTCTTGGAAATAACTTGATGTATGTGAAGGCCAACACCAACTGAAAAAATGACAGTTGTGACTTTACATTGTTGTGAATAGATAACAAAAACTTGGGCATGACTCAATAGGTGGATAATAATGCAAAACTCAGTTTAATCATCTGTCTGTGTGACCAACAATAACTACTACTACTGCCAGTACAACAATATTTCCAGACTCGAAATTCTGTTATGGATAGAAATCCATAGTTAGGCATAACTGCTGAAGTTGTCTCTAATAATTTTTGCCTATCATTGTAAGAGAATTTAATATTTGTATCATGGGCAGCTACTATTTTCATAATAACATCGTAGAGATCAGCAATAAATTTCCTATATTCTTGAATTTTTGAACTATATTTTCTATAACTTGCAAACATGATTTCATTTTTTTCTAATTTCTTCTTCAAATATCAGACCAAACAATTTATCGAGATAGATTTTATTAATAATTGTTAGCTACAATTTTAGGGTGAAATTTTTCAAAAAGCATACTTTTTATCTCAGTGTCACTATATGTAAGCCCAATATTTATTCTTCTCCCACTTTTTCTGTGCTGTAGCATTCCATTTTTTCTTCAGAACCCCAATGCATGAGATCATTCAAATGAAATCATTTTGCAATGATTTCTCTGTCTTCATTTCCTAATATTCTAATAGTTGTTTCAGAAGTCATTCAGGAATCCAGCCACTTCCTGTGCAGTGTTCTTAGTAAGTTATAAAGAAATAGATCACTCCCAGAAGAATTCCTGCCATTGAAAAACCACTTTCTCTGATAATGGGAGAAAAGTAACTTTATCTACATATAGATTTATGATTTTTTTGCAGTTTTTCACTGTAATTTTTGTTGTAGATATCAAAAAGTTAAACAATTAGTTTAATTTTGTCCTCTTCCTTATCCGTATCTTCTTTTGCTGATTCAGTTATCAGATAATTCTAACCCAATTCTTGTTCTTTCCATGCCAGTCACATCACCTATTTTCGATATATATGGAAAAATTCTCAGAAACCCTGATGAATTAATTTTGTTTATTTTTCAAAGGGTTATTCATATATTTATTTCCCACTTTAATTATTTTTATAAGTAATTAAAGGTGGTGAACATATCCAACATTCTTTTCTCCCCCTATTTTTCCCTATTTTCCACCATCCTGTGAGGTGAGCTGGGATGAGAGAAAGTGATTGGCCCAAGTTCATGTAGCTGGCTCTCAGTTTAAAAGGTTGACCTCATGCTGTTGTTAAATTGGAAGCTGATGATAATTTGAATTCTTTCGTAAGTAATCAAAGTTTATTTTTGTCTGAATTCTATGATTCCCAGATATGAAGCATCTGAGGAAAAAAACAAACTCTAATGGTAGTCATAAAAAGTCAAATTTAGTATATTATTGTAATTAGATTTCCCTTTCTCCCACAATGTGGTTTTAATTTCTAATTTTAGCCAGTTTGCATCCATGTTTAAACTTTGGGTAAAAAAATATGTTG